AAACACTACCAGAAAACAAATATAAAGGTATATTCCAGTGTTAACTTTCAATCTATAAATACTATTTTATAGGGAATTTATAATATGCAATTATCAATTAAATTATCAAACAGCTTGTGCTGTTGTCTCATTGAAAAGTATGTTTTATTAACATGAATAAAAGTGCCAAAATGAGTAGATTAACTGCAATCTATATTTCACATTGGCTGAAAAATAAAGTGCCTTTATTAGAATTTATTTCAAGTACAATGAATCATACAATGAATTCTAATTTTAAAAGACCTAACAAATTATCATTATTGCTGGTGGACTTCAAAAGAATATTGACTGAAATTATCCTGTATTTCACTTTTAAGTGTATCTGTGGAGAGTAATTTTATACTAAAATAATTCCTAATATTTAGAAAATAATCATTTTTAACAATCAACTAATATTAAAATTTTTATTAAAAACCAGTAAACAGATGTTGTGGCTATGAAATTCAAATATAGACTTCTCAGTTACTTGATCTACTTTATCTTTTCAGTCTTAGCTTGAATGGAATAATGTATGTAACATTAGAATTCATTCATACTTTTCAATGAGACAACAGCACAAGCTGTTTGATAATTTAAGTGATAATTGCATATCTAGATAGAGATGGTATTTGCCTGGTGGTAGTGAAGGTGGTAAGCAGTGGTCAGACAGGATATATTCTGAGTAAAGCCAGTAGTATTTGCTGCTGGATCAGAAAGGATGTGAAAGAAAAATATAAGCAGATAAAAGACATGGCAAGTATCTGATGAAATTAAAAGATGAAACAGTCATTAACTGAGATGAAAAAAGATGTGGGAGAAGCGAGTATGGAGAAAAAGATCAGGGTTTCAGGTTTAGATCAGGACATCCAAACAAAGACACTGATTAGAAATGGAATGAATACACCTGGAGTTCACGGGAAAGACTCGGGCTAAAGATACCTATATTTTCTTGAATCTAAGATGACTTGATGCTCATCAAATCTGAATGACTTAAGTGTTAACTGAAGGCTTCACACAATATACTCTTATTTGGGGCATTGCTAACAGTGTCTGATAGATGCATTCTGATTTCAGGATGTGATTGCTTAACCATGGCACTGTTTTAGGCCAGATAATTTTTTTTTTTTTTTTTTAAGTTGTAGATGAAAACATAATATCTTTTTTTAAAAACCTTTGTTTTTATTTATTTATTTTTATATGGTGCTGAGGATTGAACCCAGGGCCTCGCATGTGCTAGGCGAGTGCTCTACCACTGAGCCACAACCCCAGCCTCAGATAATTCTTTTATGTGTGGGCTGTCCTATGTACTGTAGGATGTTCAACAGAATCTCTGGCCTCTACCCATCAGATGTCAGTAGTACCCTCCTATCATGGGCAACCAAAAATATTCAATGTCTTTTGAGGGACAAAGAGCCTCTAATTGGGAACCACTGCTTTAATGGGTTCAAATAAAGTGAAGGAAGGCACAAGAAGTGTCTTAAGTAAGTGAAATTAAAATTAAAATTTAGAGTTGTCAGTACACATGGATGAGATCAGGAGGAGTATGTATAGATAGAAAAGTAGCCTAAGAACTGTGCCTTGGGGTACTCCATAGTCAAAGAGTTTATAGATATGAAGAAGTGACTAAGAAGAAATGGCAAATGAGGTAGTTCCACTCTTCCCAAATATTGCTTTTTTTTTTTAAAATAACAAATTCCAAGAAAACAATGGCGATTTTTGGAAGCTAGAAAGCATTTACCTGAGAGGTAACTAACTTAGCAGACCCAAGAAATATGAATGCTGAGCCAGCACTGAAGAAAAGCAAAGTAACACCTCAATTTGTATCATGTAACCTCAAAAATCCCCCAAAGTGACAGCAGAAGTGACAGTGGGACTAAAGCAGGAAGACCCTTTACTCGCCCATTGGCAGTGGTCTCAGTTGGCTGATAATCACTCACAGAAATCCAACAGACCTCTGCTTGGTATGGGTTTCACTCAATTCTGCAGAAAGAAAAAGAGAATGCTGGCATGCTAGCATTAAATACACCATCTTCAGAGGGAGTTCACACTACCCAGCGGGGGCCTTTTTTGAGTCCACAAATGACAGCTCCTCATAAAGGAGAGACTATGTGGGCAAATGCAAAAATCACACTGCTCGGAGAAACTTCATGCTCCATGGGAACCAGTAGAATCTTTTAACAGCCAATGAGGACAAGTTCCAGGGCCCCTCGGGGACATGTTCACGCTCATCGACAAGCGTTACACTGTACACCAGGAAGTCAAGTTCTGCATCTTCTCATAGGCTTATATGGTTCTTCACGGACAGTCTTCCTGGTATACCTACACTTAGTAATCAGGGGTCCATTTTGTAATAAACACTATTACCTGGAGACATTCTATACTTAATTGCAATCCAGTATGTTTCCAGGAGAGAACACCAAGAAAAGGAAAAACCCCAAAAAATTTTCATGAAAAATTAGGGCTCAGATCTCCTGTTAACTTTTTACCTAGAGCAGTGATTCTTAAATGGGGGTGATTTTGTCCTTCAGGGAACATTTTTAGTTGTTACAACTAGAGGGGAGTATGTACTACTGGCACCTGGACAGTAGAGGACAAGGATGCAGCTAAACATCCTATCATGACCAGGCAGGCCCTCACAAGAGAAAATGCCAATGGTGCTAATGGTTGAAAAACCCTGATCTAGAAAGATCAGATGAAGTTCATATACTGAACACTGAGGATCACCTCATGTCTAAACCCTTTTTTCTCTAAACACTAGCAGTGAGGCAGATGTCTTCTGTGCAGGAGACTGAAGAATCTTCTTTGCAGAAGGTTGCCACTCTGAAAAAACAAAAACTTAATAATCCTACAGACTACAAAAACAAAACAAACACCCCACTCCAAATAAACAAATAAAAAACACACAAAAAGAACAAACCAGAAACTAAATATGAAATTAACAGAACACTAAACTTGTTTGATGCAAGTGAGAGATTTAATCAACAGGGATAAAATTTAGAATTACAACAGTGATAAACACACAAAAATTTAATTATTTTATAAATCTAAAGATAATTATGAATTTTAGGGAAAGCAAAATGAGGTTTCAAAAAGGAGATGTAAGAGATTACAGTTTAAAAGCAAACTGCAAATACATAATCATAACAAAAACACTGAATAGTAACCCTATCAAAATATACTGCGAGAATGGAGGAACAGAAGTACAGGGAGTTGTCTAAAGACAGCTATATTCTCATTTTCCAGAGCAAGAAGTCAGCAGACAATACACACAATGGGAAAAGTCAGGAAATAGTGACGTAAGTGTGGATTTAATGGTAAGAAGTTAAATACTGTAAGAACTAGTTAAAATAGTAGGAAAGTGCTTATCTCTGGGAATAGAATATGATGTGTCAGTATAACAAGTTTTTTGTAACAAACCTCAAAGAGCTATTTGACTTTAAAATGTTCTTATAGAACTATTTAACTCTATGCATGGAAAACCAATTAAATTTTTTTAAAAAAAATGTATTTGCAAAAAATAAAAAATAAAAATAGTATTTGCTTTTGAGGATAACTAGATACATGGGTTTGGGATCTATAGAGCTGTCCCAATTTACTTGATTTGAATCAGAACAGAGCAGACCTCCCCCAAAAAAACCACATTAAATCAAGTTCCAGGCTTGTTAAACCACTTTTCTATCCCCTCTGGATGAGGCAAAAGAACAGGCCAGATGAGACTTTTAAGTTCTTTGCCTGCTTTATTCACCAAACCTTATTAAAAGTATTACATTAAACATTACACCATTGAATGCTAGTGTCCTTGCCCATGGATATCACTAGATATCATTTGAAGTATGTTTGCTGGGAGAGAGGGATTTTTCACTTTTTACTTCTTTTGTCCTTACATAGTTTGAACTTTTTTGAGTGTATTTTACAGACAGAAAGATAAACACATGTTAGAATATCCTTAATAATTAGTTTATAATCTGTCCTCATGCATCTTGACCCAATTCAACATACAAGATAAAGAGTAATAAAGAAAACATATCTGCAATAAAATATTGCTTAAATCTCAGTAGATGTATCTAAAAGACAAGAAAATGACAAGTAACTGGTGCTAATTATAATTTTTGAATATTATAAAGCAGAAACCAGTTTTCAAGTTCTCTATAGGTAATTAATATACCATGTAAAGTTTCATTTTAAATAAATGAAAGCATATTCTTTAGATCGATATGATTTCCTAACTTTCTCAGCAAGAAAACTCAAGTTTACCTCTAAACCACCATGATTCATGTTTCTTTTGTGCTCTACAGTACTAGAAAAAAGCTAGGCCCATGAACAAATATACTAGGAGTTACTCACTTATGTAAATTAATCTAATAAAATCAGCTAGGGAGAAAAAAATCAATAATGTCACATAATAAGCATAAATTTTAAATTTTTCTATAATTCCTTAAACAATATTTTACAAGATTTAACCTGTTGATTTCCTTCTTGCTTTTTGTTACTCTGTAACAGAACTGTGATCTTCTTGATAAAAAGAACTCAAAATAATGAATTCTCTTTCACCAAACTCGGCTTTTGTTAAACTTATCGTAAATCCACTACATCACACTGACTCTTTGATAATAAAATGGGGTAAACCATGAAAACTAAAATCTTAGAGAACTACAATGGGGATGAATGTTTTTCTTATGTCCTCATTTAAATACATATGTTGAAAAGCAATTATCAACTTAGTAAATATTAGTGGCTTTGGAAATCACATTTCAATATTTTTTAATTACATGAAATAACTGATATAAATTCAAGGACTTCAAAAAGTCAAAGAATGAAAAAGAAGAAATTAAATGTTTTCAAAGTCATCTTTGTGACACAGCCATCACTGACAAGTTTTAAATGTAGAAGCATTAAGAAAGTTTAAACTTAATTTTTTAAAAAATAATTTCCCCTTTATTTAACTCTAAAATTCCAGGAAGAAAAAAGTTCCATCCATTTACCTCAGTAATTGGCTGCCCCTGAGATGTCAAATCCAGTTCTTGAGGGCGTGTCACTTTATCAATATCCAAAGAATCCATGCTGGAGGCTGCAGACGTGATGCTAGAACGTGAGGAGTTACTAATAGAGCGAACTTCAGCATCACTCACTGTGCCTGCTGATGCGGTTCTTCTGTGCTGATTAGTTACTAAGGGCTTAGTATCTTCTAGTAGAGATTGCTGAGCAGCCTCGTCCATGCTCAAGGAGGCCTGTTCTAATTGTGCAGTGATGTCATCTAGAGAGTAGTTAGCATGAGAAGGTTTAGTTATCCTATTAGATGAAGAAGATAATCCTTTCAAGGTGCCATGTTTTGATGTATGTCGGTTAGCAGGTAATTTCTGAGTAGTTTTTGTTTCTGTGACTTGACACTTACTATTTCCTGAACCAATACTGCTGAGCTCCTGCTCTATAGAGCAAAGATCGGCCATCAGGGCATCCAGATCAACAGTCTCTCCCTGATTCAGAGCTTCTGCAAAGAACACACATTTCCAGAACACGCTTAATCAGGATTTATACATTCCATTATAAATCAGTTAAATATGGGGGAAGAAGCAAAAGAATTCAACCCATTGGGTCTTAAGCTAAACAAAGTATTGCCAATAGTTTGCTTGTTTTAAATTCCAAAAGAAATCATTAGAAGAAACTAGTCCATGTTTTAAGATCTCTAGTAATTGAGGGGAATAAAGTTAAAGTTCAAAGGCAAAAATCTTAACATTGTTCCGTGGTTTTACCCACATTCTCCATAATAACTTTTCACCACAGGTTTTAATAGGCTATTAATATGATTAATGCCCAGGTAAAGATGTTAATACCAAAAGAACTGGGGGCATAAAAAGGGAAGTTTTAAAAGTCTAAAAAATAATTACAGACTGGAATGTCAATAAACTTGACTAGGTAGAATATATCAAATAAAAGCCACAGGGGCTGATTTTAAAATTATTAATAAATAGTTTCATTGGATTTTAATCAAGTGAGAAAACAACAATGGAATTAAATATGCTGGGGGGTTCCATCTAAGTATGTATTTTGTCAATTACTAATAAATCAACTGGAATACTATTTTAGTTATGTTCTAGTCAGTCTTTTTTCTGTGATAATCTCAATTAGTAATACGCACAAATCAAGAAACATAGAACTTAGTAAGGTTACGCATAGTTTTTATATTTGGAATTGTCGCTGTATTATTCCCACATTATACAGGTTAATATACTATTTTACACTTTACTTAGTTACATCTTACCATTCAAGTTGTATATGGAGAAACGATAAGAAAAATTGGCCATGTTTGTTTCCTGGCGAAGAGGAGATCTTTTCACTGGTTCTATGGGTTTGTCAGAATCCAAAGTCTTTAAAAATAAAGTTTAATAAGTCATATTAAATTCAGGTTTCAATTACATAAAAAGATGAAAATTTTTTATGATTAAGTAAATTACTATATAATAATTAACTAAACCAAAGTTCTTCTAAGTATAGCCTTAAGAAAAAGTATAATTGGTTTTCACAGTATTTTCATTAGTTATTTCAATTTTTAGATATATGCTTACTTTGAGGGCACCTGAAAATTGAGACTATCATAGTTCAAAGTATTTTTTCAAATATATCAAGTTGTGACTGACCTAATTTTACATAAATTCACTATAAAGTAAGTTTGATATGTGAATACGGACACGGTAAGAACAGAAATGGAAAGGACTCGTGCAGAGAATTCTGTCATCTCTTTCCCTAGAGAGATATGTGTTTTTTTCCGCTCAGGATAGCTTCATTCTTTGGCCATGAATCACCCTAAAGATAAAGGTCAGTTCTGATCTCAAAATTGGTAAAACCTGAGACAGAAAAGCAATTACAACTTCAAAATGAGGGCAAACTACAACTCTGCTATTCTATCTGTACCAAAACAGCAATTATACCCACAATCAAGGGTATAAGGGTGACTTATAAGTTATCTCACCACTATTTTATGTAATTAAATCTGATTAATTAATTTACTTTTGGTGCTAGAGATTGAAGCCAGGCCTAGGTCTTCTCCATACTAAGCACATGCTCCACCACTGAGCCCCCAGTCCTCATCACCTTTTTTGTTTTAATATTTTTATTAGTTGTTGATGAAATTTCTTATTTTATTTATTTATTTATTTGTATGTGATGCTGAGAATCGAACCCAGTGCCTCACACATGATAGGCAAGCACTCTACCACTGAGCTACACCCCAGCCCCCCTCAACACCTTTTTAAAGAACACTTTATTTCCCTTTTTCCTTATTTCAACAATAAGGATACTTATAATAGGAAACTTCAGAAAAAGGGGAAAAGAAATTAGGCTTAGTGATATTTAAATCATTTGCATATATCAGAATCAGTTTTAAAAGTTTTAGTCACTATGTAAATTAGATATAAGATATTCAAATTTTTAAAAAAGCATGGTTATTCTTTTTTTAAAAAAATATTTATTTTTTAGTTGTAGTTGGACACAATACCTTTATTTTGTTTATTTATTTTTATGTGGTGCTGAGAATCGAACCCAGGGCCTTGCATGTGTTAGGCAAGCATGCTACTTCGGAGCCACAACCCCAGCCCAATCATGGATTTAAATTAGAATACGTGGAGGGACCTTTCTGGCTTGTGACTCCAACCATATCAATGTTTATAACGGTTCAATTTACAATAGGTAAACTATGGAACCAGCCTAGGTGCCCTTCAACAGATGAATGAAAATGTGGTATACATACAGTGGAATACTACTCAGCCATAAAGAGAAATGAAATTATGGCATTTGCTGGTAAATGGATGGAACTGGAAACTATCATGCTAAGTGAAATAAACCAATCGAATGTTCCCTCCGATATGCAAATGCTAACTCAGAATAAGAGTTGCAGGGGGTGGGGGAGTTGACAGGGAAGAACAGAAGTACTTTGGATTAGATAAAGGGTAATGAAAGGAAGGGAGAGGGAATGGGAATAGGAAAGGTAGTAAAATAAATAGGATATACTTTCCTATGTGCATATATGATTACACAATCAATGTTATTCTACATCATGTATACCAGAAAAATGAGAAGTTATACTTCATATATGTAAAATATGTCAAAATACATTCCACTGTCATGTATAACTAATAAGAATAAATAAAACACACAAAGGACTAGGGATATGGCTCTTTGGTAAAGCACCTCTGGTACACAGTACCAAATAAATAGATTTGAATACTCTGTTACTCATTGATCTAAAGATAAGTTGAATCCATACAGATAGTGCCCATCCTACTTTAAAGCTATTAAATTAAGGAGATCCACAATCTCTTTAGTGCCTTATTTCACAGTTTCACAAAATAGTCAGAAAATTCTCCTTTAATCTCAAACTTAATTCTACTGCAGCAATTTAAGCCCTAATCCCTCTCCTCTTGGTGGAACTGGAGAATAAAAAGTAGCAAACATTTTTTGTAAGATACCTGGAGTATAAAGATTTACTAAAAGTCAATCTATTTACAAGTTTAAATGAATGGTCATTTATTGTAACTACCTGCTATGTCCATGGTGCTAGGGCAACAAAGGAAATAATAAGAAATACTCCTCAGTCTAAGAAATTGGTAATTTAGTAGGAGGACTATCAATCTTTTGGGGGCAGTCACTGAGAACTTAATTAAAGCTGTGAACCCTCTTTTAGAAAAACGCACAATACACAAAATTTTACAAACTATTTTAAGAATTACCTACTACTTAAAATTTAAACTTCATTTAATACAATGCTGAAAATACAGTTGATTATGCACACAGGTGACACTTTATAGTGAGAATTTTTAAATTTCAGTAAGAAATTTAAGGTTTTAGCCACTAAATCAATTATTTCCTGAAAATTTCCATTAAAAAGCAATGTGTTAGCAGTTGAATTGAGTCACATTATGCAATAGTTTTAATCTATTTTCTAAAGACAGGTTTGTATGAAGAAAAGAACAACCATAGCATGTTTAGGAGCCATTCCTTTTTTGGTGAGTGGCTCTTTCCATTTACGTTAGGCAATTTAAAATATAGGGGAGAATACATGAGAACAAACCAGTAGAAATTTAGTTTACAGTGGGTCAGCATGGAGTTCCCACTCCACCTTTATTAGTTCTACAGATACCTAAATGTCTTTCTTTTTTCGCTCCCCTCTCAAGCAAGGACAAAACCCCACCTGATCAGGGACAAGACACATGTCAGCTGGCCCTTGCATAATTTTATTCATGCATGCTCATTTTTGTTTTCTCTCCTTTGCTTTTTTTCTCCCCAGCAAAAACTACTTAACTTAGCCATCATCTCTATGCCAAAATTACCATCTTAAAAAAATTAAGGATTAAATAGAAATGGCTGACAATACAGACATAAAAGACATCCTAGGGTCAATAAACTATGAACTGCATAAGGATTAAAAGAAAAAGAGAGAGAGAGAGAAAAAAAAGGCAATATTCCAGGCAGTGTGGGTGGGGCTTACTTCTGATCAAAAGATAAGCGAATGTCCCAAGAAAATCATTAGTAGGATTGAACAGTCTCCCAAACTCTCAATTATTAACAAATCATGGTCACAGGCATCTGATTTTCAAAATGATCTACAGTACAGAAATAAGTTAATATTTTATGTTTCTACTGTACCAATGAGTACTGTACCATTAGCTAAAGAACCTCATACTTATGTATTCCCAAAGATATCACTTAAGGATAAATGTTATTCTAATTTTATCACTGCCACAAAATTAAATTTATTTTAATAAACCATCATCATATATTGAATACAATGTATTACATAGGGCAGTAAAAACTAACATTTTGTTTTTAAGTGTCCTGTGTTAGATTACAGAATAAGGTTATTATTATTATTTTTAAACCCATAATCCAATAAAACAAAAGGTAACCACTCTTTAAAATGCACCATGAAATGGAATTTTGTCAGTATTCTAGAAACAAGTAATAGAAAATACTGACATGCAAGGAAATTATGCTGTAAAATGTACTTAAATTTACTAATTTATTAAATAGAATTTTGCTAAAATTTGAACTTTTAAATTTTAGGCTTTGAAACTTTTTATTTTAAATTAGCAACCTTAAACACATGAAAAAGTATTAGGTAATTCCTCTAGTTAAACAGATGCTGTCATAATTTTTTTTTTAATCTTTAGAGTAATCATAGGAGATACTACCTTGTGTTATGGAGTTATTATTTATTCATTTGTTAATGTGTTGGGCATTTTTCCTTTCTAGCTGTAGAAAGTTTAACCTGTACTCATATCCTTATGTCTGCACATTAAACTTTTACCATGCAGTGATAACTTCAAATCCTCAACCAGTTTTTCAAGTACTACTTCTAACCTGAGTGAGTTTGTCCAGTTCCCCAAGCCAGGCTCCAAACATTTTGTCCAGGTCCTGGTCTTCCTTGTCACTGTCTTCTTCAGCACCATGGTCAATTTCTTCATCTGAAAGCTGCTCCATCTGAAATACAGACATTTGTGTTGAATGAAAAGTTATAAATGTAACTTGTGGTATGTGCTCTGATATATAGTACAACTCTCTGGTATCAAACTTCAAAACCATAAATTATATTATTTTTTAAAACTAGAAGTCATTAATGGAGACAGTGTTGAAATTTTTAGGATTTTTAATGTTTTTTTGAATTTGTTTATTTGTTCTAATTAGTTATATATGACAGCAGAATGCACTCCAACAGATCATACATAAATGGAGTATAACTTTTCATTCTTCTGGTTGTACATGATGTAGAATCACAGCAGTTGTGGAATCATATAGGTACATAGGGTAATAATGTCTGATTCATTCGACTATCCTTCCTACTCCTATATCCCCTTCACTCCCTCCACTCCCCTCTGCCTAATTCAAAGTACCTCTATTTTTCCCTAGCCACCCCCTTATTATGAATTAGCATCTGCATATCAGAGAAAATATTCAGCCTTTGTTTTGGGGGATTGGCTTATTTCACTTAGCAAGATATTCCCCAGCTCCACCCAGTCAGAATGGCAATTATCAAGAATACAAGCAACAATAAATGTTGGTGAGGATGAATGAAAAATAACTCATTATGGAGAGCAATATGGCAATTACTCAGAAAACTTGGACTAGAACCACCATTTGACCCAGCTATCCAACTATCCAACTCCTCAGTTTATACCCAAAGGACTTAAAATCAGCATAATACAGTGACACAGCCACATCAATGATCAAAGCACTCAATTCACAATAGCCAAACTATGGAACCAACCTAGAAACCCTTCAACAAATGAATGGATAAAGAAAATGTGGTATATATACACAATGAAATTTTTAGGATATAGTTTAAGAAAGAGAGTATCTTCCATTGCCAAAGTAGAAACCAAACAAACAACAACAACAAAAAAAAACACCTCTGTGATCCTTATGAAAATTACCTGATAAGGTTTTATGAAATTGAATATTTAATTTATTTCACTATATAAAATTTGCAGAAAAATTCAAATGTTTAAAATTAAGACAAATTGATATAGTTCTAAAGATGTTGAAAATCAGATCAAATAAATTCCTTAGGCCTAAGATTGGGAAGGGCCACAGCTCCTCAACAACCTTATTAGAAACTAATAATCCCTACTTCTTAATCTTTCACCCTAATTATATATAAATTAGGGCATTCCACTCTGGAAAATGGAAGATGAATCTACCAATTCTTTTTTTTTTAACATATTCTTTAAATTATTTTTTAGTTGTAGATGAACACAGTATCTTTATTTCTTTTTATCTGGTGCTGAAGATCGAACCCAGTGCCTCACATGCGTGAGACAAACTGCTCTACCACTGAGCTAAAGCCTAAGCCCCAGATCTACCAATTCTTTAATTCATAAATTCGGCTCTTAAGGAGATTTCGGTTTTCATAATTCATTTGTGACAATATTATTTCTAAGATTTTTATTTCTTAGAGAATAATTTAAAAACCAATCTCAATAGAAACCTGAGATCAAAGCTCATTAAGTGGTTTACCTATAAAAAACACAAAATGTTAATGAAAAGAAAATCTCATCTAACCAGATGACTTAATTACTCAAATAATATTTGCTAGTTTGAGAACAGAGCTATAGAAATACCAGTCTTCATAATGAGGGTCAACAAGCAACAGAATAATAGTCAACTTCCTCTTTTTCCCTAGGAAAATCTTCAAAACTAAACACTGGGGCTGAGTTATAGCTTAGTGATAGACCACTTGCCTAACATGTGTGAGGTTCTGAGTTCTAAGCCCACTTACCACATTAAAATAAATAAATAAAATAAAGATATTGTGTCCATCTACAGCTAAATTAAAAACAAAAACAAACAAACACTAAACACACTGAAATAACCCAGAAGCTAAAACGTTCTAGGAAGAATTCTGCTTGAAAATAATAGCATTTATGTACTTAATTACATTTTATATTTCTAAGTACATTTAAAATAACTGGGTCTGCAGTACTGCCACCAAACAGATGATGCTGTCACTCAGGGCAGAGACAGCAGCTTCAGAATCTTTAATGAATATTTTAGGCAACAATACATAAAGCACAGTATTTTTGGAGACAATATCTCCACTGTAAAAAATCTGGTCACACAATAGAATATCCATCCAGGTGACCTTAATCAGAAAAATAAGTGGTGTATGAACATACTAACAGCATGAGGAAGTTACAGTAAAAGGAGGAAGGGAAAGAACATTAGTCATAGACCTCCATGAATCAGACATTATGACAGGTACCATCATTCCTATTTTACAAATGTGGAAAGCAGATCAGAGAGGGTAATGAGCTCTGGGTGTTCTTGGAGAAGAACTTAGGATGGCACCACAGGTCCTGTGTTGTAACAACACCTACAATCTCAGTCACTTTACAAATGGGGTTCCCACAAGATTTCATTTAACCAGAGAGTTCCTGTTTTTAATATAAAAAGGTTTAAAGCCTACACTTCTTTTGTGACCACACACTATAATTACTGATAAGGAAAAGGCTATTCTGGGAAAAATAAAACAATAGGAAAACATTTTTATAAAGCAAATATAAAGTAATTAAAAATGAATGTGAATGGTTTAGATTATTATGGAGCCAACAGAACTACAGGCTACACATGCAAGTCTAATGTTGGAGTTTCAAAATCCCTTTAAATATTTTCACTTATAGTTTTGTTTTTTAAAAAATCTAGATTACTACATAGTCAAATAGAAGAAAATATATCTAGTGAACAACGACAATGAGCCATAGAATAAGTGGAAATTTTGACGTAACTGCAGTCACCATATAGTTATTATTCCTAGTTCTGTTCCTTTTTGAATTTTGTCAACACATGAATTATTTTACAAAAAATAACTTAAGAAACTTATTCAGAGACTTTGTTATGAAAAAGTTAGGTCCTAATAGTGTTTGCCTGCCACACACAAGGCACTGTGTTTGATCCCCAGCACTATGGGAAAAGGAAAGGAAAGGTGGGCTAGGGAAGATTTTGATCCTACAACATTTCTTAAAGAATTTGCCTTGTAAAATACTCTCCAGAAGCTGATGCAGATGATCCTTACTCTCCCATCCCCAACACGGAATCTTCTATTTACTATCCCCACCAAGTCTTTTTATAGCCTCTGCACAGTCTACAAGCAGCAAATCTGGTAGGGAAATTCATTCTTGCCTGCCAATTTCTTGACACCCACATCCTACCCATCTCAAGAATCAGCTGTAATTGCTACAAATCACCAATTAAATCACAATTCTAAATCTAAATTTTCCCAAACATAATGTCCCTACTAGAAACAGTGACATTAGAAAATAAGCCAACAGTTAACTGCTTTTTCAAAGGGTAAAAAATAAGTCTTTTTTCAAAACCATTTGATTTTTAAAAATGGATGGATAACAACATTATGCCTTTCCTTAATGATATCCAAATAGGCCCACAGAAACTATAATGCATACTACAACAAATCCTACTAAACCACTCTATGATTTTTAGATTAGGTTCTAGGGGATATACTATAGTCTCACTTCAATTCCCTGCTCCATTATACATGACAGAAACCACGTCCCTCCCCCAAGAGTAAAAATACCTTACCACAAAGGAGAAGGTTTATTCCCCCAAATATAGACTTACTAAAGTGAGAATAAAATCCAAAGTCACTGGCAGGTGGACAAAGTGCTGTGAGATCCTAACCTTCAGCACCCTCTCTTTCCACCATCCCCTGCATTAGCAGGCACAGTGTGCTACTTACTGCGCACTGGAATAAACAGACTTGCTCCAACCTCCAACCTTTGCAGTGCCTGGAACTCTTGCCTTCAGATATCTATATGGCTGGTGGACTTGCTTCACTCTGTTCACTGCTTACAAGAGTATCCTATCAAAATAGTACCCTCATCCTTGTTACTTTCTGTCCCTTGTATGATTTTTATTTTCTTCACAGCACTTATCACCATCTGTCACGTTTATAATTTCTCTTCCCCCACTAGAAGGAAAGCTCCATAAGAGGAGGTGCTTTGGTTTCATTCTGTATCCACAATGTTTGGAATGGTGCCTGGCTCACAGCAGTGTCATTAAATATCTGCTGAATGGAAGAATCACAGTGTGTGAGTGTGTGTGTGTGTGTGTGTGTGTGTGTGTGTGTGTAATATATTAATCAACATTAATAGAGTGCTGTTCTTCACAAGAACATCTCATTTAATCTCCCACTAACTCTCTAAGACAACTGCTACTCATTTATAAATGAAGACTATTAGGCTAAGAGAACTTAGGTAATTTTTCCTGAGATTCACATGCACTACATGACAGTATGAGAATTTGAACCCAAGTGTATGACTTATTCTATTGTGCTTTTAGTGGCCATCATGTACACAAACAAATTTAAGAAGAGTACACTTTAAAAAAAAAATCTCATTTTTATTAATTCATTTACTGAGCAGCTACCACATGCCAGGCACTATTCTAGGTACTAAGAATAGAATGGTGACACAAGTCATGTAAAGTTATTTCCCTAATGGATCCTTATCCTACTGACATGAAGAATAAAGGGAAGTCAGCTACTGAAGATTTAGGAGAAGAAGGGCAGCAAAAATAGTAATGAGAAGACCAAAGGAGGTATAATAAGCCAGGTATATTCAAAGGAAAGAGAGACTACTCTGTGGTGGAGCCCAGTGATTTTAAGAATGGGAAGTAGGATCTGAAGTTAGAGACACAGACAGGTAAAAGAGCACCTATAGCCTTGCAAGCCTAGTAAATTATTAGAATACCTATATGTAAAAAAAACAAAAACAAAAACAAAACCTCTAAGTATAATTCCTTACTTTATTCCAAATTCAAGCAGGGTCTTGGTAAAAATGGCATTAATAGTTTTTATTTATGGGAAGTGGGGGATCAGGGATTGAACCCAGGGTAGTTTACCACTGAGCTACAGCCCCAGTCCTTTTCTATTCAGAGAAAGGGTCTTGTTAGATTGCTTAGGGCTTTAT